AAACTGTCTTCCGTTCCTTCATAAGCAAGAAATTCAGACAGCAATACAATGTACCATGGGCTCGCGAAGCTCAGCGCACTCAGCACTGATACGCACAGCAGGATTTCTATCAGGTCATATTTTCGACTGTATGAGACTAAAATACAATAGTGACTCACAAAACAGCGGTGGATGAGAGGCAGTGCGGAGGTCGAATAGGACGACAATGAATCGTTGGAATATCGCGCTCCGTATCCTAGTATTCTAATTCTGACCGTCAAATTTGGTCGAAGGCTACTTTATGTCTGACCGACTCAATGCTTATCGTATTAGAATCTTATGTAATTAGCTATTTAAGGTTCCAGGGCGTGGGCTCCCGGTTTCTTTGAGTAAATGGCGGATTCCCTGGACCATGTGGTTCAACTCCTCTGTTCATCACGCCAAGGTAAGTAATAACAAAACTATTTCTTACTTATGAGAACACAACTCCGTGAAAGAAAATGAAGCACAAAACTGCTAACAATTTTTTATTTTCCTTGGTTCCAGTCATTATCTTACTTTACATAAGATGACATATTTAAAACTTTTAAGATTAAGTAATTGCCATGGTTTCATGTGAAATGCGACGATCCATTTGATCTAATCTCTCTAAACTTATATCTTTTCATTGTGCACCCAACGTCGTTCCACTTAAGGTGGGTTTACCAACCTACACTGACCCTAGAAGACTGTTTGGCTGATTATTTCTCACAAGCTGAACTCAATGGAGATAACAAATATTCCTGTGAGCGCTGTAAAAGGTGAGCGGATCTCGGTTTTTCATGCCACTCAGTCTTCAGTTTTTACAACCATTGGCCATGCATTTTCATGTGAATGATATTCCTAACTTCGTAATAATTGGGCCACTCCGAGTTATTTTGGTACGATTGAAGTCACTAATTGAGCCTAAGTTCTGTAGTCCTCCATTCTGCAGTGATCGTCTCTTTGTGAAATTTTTGTCCAAACAATGTTTGACAATCAAAATATTGAGTATTCATAGGGCATGATCGTATCATTACTTACTTACTTTACTGCGACTGGCTCCTTGGATAGGATTAGCCGGCTCCAGACATGATCATAATCATGAAGTTCCTTGGGAGTTTGGTA